ATATAAAATATGAATTATTTTTACCTCAGCCTAGAAGACCAGGAGGTCATGTGGTAGCCCCTTGGGCTGTCAGAGCTGGTTTTCAAGGAAATTTTTAGTTCTAAGGGACCAAGATGGAAGAGCAGCAGAAGCGGGAAGCAGGGGGACTCTGCCAGCAGCTCCGCCAGCTGGGGAATTTCTCCGCTGAGCTTCCTGTATCTCTTGGCTATCTTTTGACTCCCAACTTCTCACCACTCTTTAAAATCCTTCTCTCAGTGGTGTAGACGATAAACATTACTATTGATAATAGTGTTTGAAGTGGGTTTTTGTCCCACTTTCTCTTCCCTTCATCTCTGGTCTCAGGGGCTTCAAGGTGAGGCAGGCGAGCGGAAGGAAGCTCTCCCACCTTCTGATTGCGCGTTGTGCCACAGTTCCCCTGCCAGGTTTTGGGGTGCGGATCCACTCTCCAGAGTCAGGGACACCCTGTCTTGACCCCTGGTTGTGAGGTATACAAGCTGCTCTTCCCTCGTTCTCTGATGGACAACACTCTCTCAATTTCTTTTCTTCTTACAATTTTTAATATTTTTGAATTAAAGTAACATCACAATAGGATAAGGTTTCAGGCATCATCGAGAGTCGACATGTGCATAAACTATATCGTGTCCAGCACGAGGTGTCCCCTGCTGCCCCTCTGCACAGCACTGCCCCTTGGTCCCTTTTTACCTGCCCCCTCCCCCTGCACTTTGGTGACACCAAGTGGCCCCACAGTCCAAATTCTCTTTGGCATTAATAGTTTATCTGTTCATCTTCTTAAAGATAAGCCCTGGAGATTATGAGCCCTGGTTGCTTATCTCTCACCCAGCAGGATATTGGGAGACTGACCTCAGCCCATCACCTGGGCTTGCCCTGAGGCCCTGGCGCCACCCCTCCTCATGCTCCCCCCTCCCCCCATGACACCGATTGCCTGCTCTGCGCTCACCAAGCTCTGCAGATGCTGCCAATCTGCCCTCAATGCCCTGCTGCAGGGGCTCCAGGCTCCTTGTTCAGTCTTTTCCCAATCCTGTGCAGAAAGGCCTTTGTGTTTTCCTTTCCCCTCCCACGCCCTTGGCTTCCTCAGTCTGGGAACTGGGATAAACAAACCACAACATCCAGTGAAGGAGTCTCTTCATTTAAAATTGCAACCTGATCGCTATTCATGATCTCCTTTGAACCTCTTGGTTTTCTTTTTTCATAAAACTTCAAATCTAAAACACTGGAGAGCTCGTGGACTCTGATGAGTGCTCATGATGTGACTGGTCACAGGAGCGTGCAGAGCCTGCAAGCAGGGCCTCCATTCCAGGTGCTCCCAAGCGCAGGCGGTGCCTGCCCCATGAGCGTGTCCCTGCTTCCACAGCGAATACACGAAGGGAAAAGACTTGGAGGCCACACGCAGTCTTCCTGCTGAGTCCTCCACCCAACACCCGTCCTTTAAAGCATTGTGACACCCTCCGTGGATGGCCAGGGGCTGTGAAACTAGACTCTGGGCTCTGAGTCCACCAGACTACACGAAAAAGCTTTAAGAACACAGACAACGATCCGATCCTTTTCAAATAGCGCTGCCAGCTCTGATCTGCGTCACCTGAGCCAACGCTGACTCAGGCAGTGCCCCCACTAGGTGGACCCTTGGCCGCCGATCTCTTGCACAGCCCGAGGCCTGGGAGGAGCTGAAGGTCACATGACAGTGCTTGAAAGGGGAGTAGACTACCCCAGTGTCAACATGTTGCCATGCAAACTCTACTCATCCGGAAACAGTGTCTGCTCACTCAGGTTATTGACCTTCATCCTCATTTTCCACCATCATTTCCCAAGAATTCAGCACAGTCTTCTCATGAGGATCTCTCTTTCTCTCTCTCTCTCTCTCTTTATATATATATATACATATATATAATTTTTTTCCTGGATGCATCACTATACCGGGTGCGGCCAGGCAGCCCAGGAAGCAGGCTCCCTTCACCACGCTCAGGTAAGGACTTCAGGTGTTTCCTCAGCTGCTTCTGCAGCCGCGGCAACTCCTCGCCCTGTGGGATCAAGGGACATGCCATGGCCCGGACGAGCACCTCCTCATCCTTACCCGTGACACGAGCAAAGTTCCCTCCAGGAGGAAGGAGGAAGTTCACCTGGGGCCATCTTTCACCCAGAACAGAGCTTTGAAACGTGAGCCAAGGAGGGAACAGCAGGAGGACACATGGTGGGGCCGGTCCAACCTCCCTCTCGGTGCACGCCTGTGCTGGTGCCAGAATCCAACTGCTGACTATGGGGTCAGTGGTGCTTTTGTCGCGACCTAGGGTCTGCACTTTGCGAATTACCTCTTAGGTGATGCCCTTCACCACCTGACCTTTTGAAATCCTGCTCTCTCAGCTCCATGAGGCAGCAGAGAGAAGCACAGCCCTGCAGATGGTGAAGCCAGTGGAACCAGCTTCTCCAGCGCGGCTACTCCAGCTCCCTCACTGCTCGACCCTCAGCGCCTCTTGCACTTCCACCAGAAGACCCCCCTCCCCTTACTCTCTCACCTTCTGGGGTTCAAAATGGGATTCCATAGAGGCAACTGCAGAATTCCTAACTCTCAATTCACTCTTGTTAGGAGGAGAATGCAGATAATTTTAATAATGATACCTACAGCTTTATACTGATGCCTAAATTAGTATGAAACACATTTTCAGTAGAGACTGAGGTGTGAGCAGTATTACTAGAAATTAATAGCATCTCCTTAGTTCCTAAGTATCACAGCTAAAAGATATTTCCATCTTCTCTCCTTATTTCAATAATAAGGTTGCTGAGAAGGTAATTATTTGAGTTATATAGTCAACATTATTTGAACACTTACATACTAGGTGGGTTACGAGGACTCACATTTTTTAACATACGTGAGGTGCTATAATATATTACAAGTATACTATTTTAAATAGATCATAGGTTTAGGAATTTTAAGAAAATTCCTCATGGCATTACTGTATCTGGTTATATATTTTCATATTTCTGTTCAATGTATATTGACAAAATATATATGAAGGTGTGTATGTGCCAACTTAATTAATGTCCAATGTCAGTAAATATTTTGCTTTAACACAGTTGCAATTTCACTTTACTTTTGAGTTGGTGTATCTTAGTATAACTCTTCACTATTTATGCATTTTTAATAAACTACTGGAATTTAATGTAAATTTTCAACAGAAGATACCAGGGCTGGCAAGGAGTTACAGTATTTTGGCACCACTTCTACTTGTCTAGTTTGATCTGAGATGTATTCACTCCAGTTTCCATAAAGCAAATCTTGCCTTAAAAAACAGCGAACACATTCAAATTGCTTGGAAACTATTAAGACAGTTGGCTCATAAACCCATCAAAGGGAAATGGATTTAGATTTGTTTTTACTTCTTGATTGGTTCAAACATTTTCATTTAATACCCTACAGAAATTCATTAAAATGTTTATGCTACAGGATGAATATCATAAACCTATGAGAGAAAATTGATATGAATCAATCAACAATTAAGCCATCTCCAAGGCCCATGTCACTATACATCAGGCTAAACATCAAATGCTCACAACAGGAAAAAGTAATTAACAACATAATTAGATCTATTTTCCATTTTGGCTCTATGTTTCTAAAGTTAGTGATGCCTTTGGAAAGTTAAGTAGGATAAACTTATTTTGATTGATTAGTATAATTCATATGATACAGGCTTTCCTATCCTATGTGCATGTCTGAGTATATTTTTTCAATCCTTTCACAACAAGGGGAAGGTGGTGGGGAAGGAGACATGCAAATATCCCATGTTCCCCATAAAAATAAGGTTTTAAAAAGCAGCGCTGTCAGAAGACAAAAACGCCCCCGATGCTTTTACCTTCAATCCCACAATGCACTATTGCCTGTCTGAATATTTTTGCCGCATGGCCCACGTGTCTTTCCTTTTGCTCAGCAGCATGGAACTCTACATTCAGTGTCACCTCTTCGAGTCCCTGAGGGGGTGTCTTCTTCCCAGACTGAAGACACAGCCTGCTCACCTGCCCTCACTGATGTGAGCATTGCCCCGTCATTTCGAGATTAAAAGAAAAATTTGCTGCTTGGAAATATTTGCTGCATCTCTCCTTCCCTAGCAAAGAGTTTTAGAAAATTACATGATAGGTTACAATCCAATAATATCTGCTACTTTCCATTTTCTTACCCACCTGTACTTTTTAATCATTTTATAATTGACTCAGATTTTTCTTTCAAAGAATTGAATATTTTAAAAAAATGTTCATATATTTTATTGAGATAATGTTGGTTTATTACATGGTAGGTGATTTAGGGGTACAGGCCCCACCTCTTCAGATGTGTGTCACCACAGCATGCCCAGCATTACAGCACCAGTAATGTCCCACCACAGGCCACTGGGCCCCCTGGACCATTTTAAGTTACAGTTCTGGCTACTTTGAAATTCAATTTATTGCAAAAACTTTGCTCATTGCTGTTGCTCATTGCCTTTATTGGCAATAGTTGGTCCAGAAATTAAAAAAAAAAAGAAAAAAGGCAGTGTATTTTCATTATCAACATTATTATTATTATTATTATTGTACTTTTAAATTTTTCCATTTAAGATAAACTACAAACCTCTATGAAGCACAGGCATCATTTCAGAGGTCATTTAGAGACATGTCCTTTGTTTCATGGCGATATTTTTCTAATTTGAGTTTCATAATTAATAAAGATTCTCAGAATTTGTTAAACTCTTAGCATTCGAAGCAAAAAAAAAATCCAATGAATTGTCAACATCTTTTTCAAGTTTGTGAAAACATACATTTCTCAACAGTTCAAGTTTGTGAAAACACATTTCTAACAGCTGCAGTGCTTTATGCAGAAGTGCTTTGACTATGGCATTTGAAGTGGTTCATGTCAGTGTAACATGATTTCATTTGTTTGCTGTTAATTCAACAATTACACTTAAGAATTTTCCAGTGCAGATAGCCAGCAAGAATTGACAAGCATCCAATATCCTCACCTACAATCTGTCCAAATGTGAAGCTTGCTGGTCCAGTCCAGGAGACTGCGGGAGGCCCTCAGGACCGGTCATTCGGCCTCCCTGCCCGCTGGAGCTGCCTCGGAACCACAGAACCCGCCTGAGGAGTCAAAAACAGAAGGGGATTTACCTTCAGGAGTGGAGAGTTACGACACCACGGAGCAAACCATGGAGGACTGTTTTTCTCCCTCTCAGTACAGTGTTCTAGAGCTTTAGTCAAGTTGTTTTGCCCATTCGTACTTCATTACTATTTATTGCTTAGTAGTATTCCAAGGTGTGGCGGGTCCGCACTTCACCCATGCCCTGCTGAAGGATGCCCAGAGCACAAAGCCAGCTTGGAGCCACGGCATGTGAGGCTGCTGTTAGAGTTCACGTGCTTTCTTTGGCAAGAACATGTTTTTATTTCTCTGGGGCAGCTGCCAAGAATGTATTACTGGGTTGTGTGGTGGCTGAATGCTTAATTTTATAAGAAACTGCCAAGCAGCTTTCCAAAATGATGATGTCCATTCAGTGTGTGTTTTCATATTTGAACTTTTTATTGAGATAATTGTAGATTCATATATTGCATGAAAAATATCTGACTTTTCTTTCAACAAATGAATTTATGTGATATATAAATCACATATTCATCTAAGCTTATTTTTTATCTTTTAAAGCTCTTTATATCGTGCTTTCTTAACTACCTGCTGCTTAATGTCTGTGTTATCTTGGTCTCAGTGTTTTAATCTGTTGTTTTGTTTCTTCATATTTCCTACTGGTAATTTTGAAATAATGTAATTTGGGTTCTACTTAGGATAAAGCTTTAAATTTTGAATGTTATTGTAAAAGTCCTATGCTAAATCCCTATTAATGTCACCACAGATATATATTTACAATTTCTTACAGTCCTACTACCAATAATGTTCTAGGATTTATGTCCCCATTCTTTATGTGCTTATATTAATATTGAGATGTTATAATTCAGTAAAATTACCAGTTATCCAAATTAACTTTTACATAGTTAAGTGCAGTGATTACTAAGAATGCTTTCTTCCAATATTCTTACTCTTCTTGAATTATTAAATTTTTGTTTACTTGACTTAAGCTGTTAAGCATATGTTTGAGACGTTCATAAATTGTGTAGTTATTCAGTTCAAACATAATTGAGAATATATTTCCTGACTTTGACACTTGAAATAGAGTCTAGCTGGGTAGACTATATGGGTCACGCCAATTTGCTTCTTCAGCATCTTACGGTAATTGTTCTATCATCTTAATGTCTTACATCTAGTCGTGAAATAGCCTAAATGCAATCTACCACATTTTACTTTATAATTAAGTCTTGAAAATGATACCTGATCCTGGATACATAAACATTTTTTTTTCTTTATCCTTGAGCACAAGTGACATTTAGCATATTGATAAGTTTTCTGATACTGCATTGACATTTCCTAGCAACAGTCAAAACCTTTGATTTTTTAAAAAAATTTTATTAACTCTTAGGTCTGTCATCGTAGTTTCGTGTTTTGAGTGCCGTGTTCTCTGTTTCACTTCCTCTAATTTCTAATGCAGGGTTATCAGTTATCTGTCAATAAAAACTCTGCTTTTCCACATGATTCTGTGCTTCCATAATTTCACATGAATTCTGCCTGAAACTGTAAAATCTGATTTGTCTGAATGTCGATGAATCCACACTCCTTTTCAGTGCACGGGCCTACACAGCATTATCACTTTTGTCTTAACCTCCATAGTGGACTTGCTTTTGCATTTCATTATAATATTTTTGTGCTGTGGTTCAAGATGAACGGCAGAGTTCCTACTTTTAAACTAGACTACATCCTGATGTCCTACTGCAGACGGCAGGGGTGAAATTACTCTAATTTCAATAGTTTCTTTGTAGGTAGGATCCTGAAGGTTAATACCCTAAAGATTCATTTGAGCTCTTCTGCTGGCAGACAGCCCTGAGATGTGGGGCAAGAGGCTGGGTTTTAACTTCAGTTAACCATACTAACTGTCCTCTTTCTCTTTTATTCCAGCTGAGCTGAGGAAGAATTTATATAATTGTAATATATTTAAAACGTACAATGTGGTGATTTCATATTTGTATACAATGTGAAATGATTGATTACTTAAAGCTAACACATCCATCATGAAACACAGTGCAGGTGTGTGTGTGAGAAGGGTTAAAATTTACTCTCAGCAAATTTCAAGTATAAAATACAGGACTGTGGATGACAGCAACAAGAAGTACTTTAGATCTCATGACTTAATTCATCTCATAACTACAAATTTGTCTTTCATGTTGTTATTGCTATTGTTGATTTTACTAAGGTTTTAAAAGGTGAGGATGCTTCCATGCTAAATTTATACAAATTGTATTTTCTACAGGTCTGTATTTATACGCTTTATTACATATTACATATGTATCCTATGGCATATATATTATGCACTCACATATTTTCAAAATACATAAAATGCACAATAAATAATATCATATGCATTTGTTATCTCAGGATAATTAAACATCATATCAAATATAGTAAACCTGATAATTAAAACAAGAATTTTTGATAGAATATGAATTACTGATTTATTTTATTTCTAAACTTTACATAAATATTACAAGGTTTTGTTCTTCAATAAAAAGCCTAGAAAACTACACTTTATGATGCTGGTGGGAGGTAATACAGTCAGTGGCACAGACTTTGTTTCTACTTGTCTTTGAAAAAAAATGAAACAACTGGGATTATGACTTTTTACAAGGTATAAGGGATAGGTAAAAACAATATAACTTTGTACTGGTTTGCTCTGTAACAGCCTGGAGTGATTTTTCTATTTGTATTTTATTATCTACCTGTATTATTGGGAAGACTGTCCCTCCGGTCTTTAAAGGGCAATGTTAGACGTAGCTTCCTTCCAGAAAAGCGTTTCTCTCGGTCTCCGAGAGCACTCTGGGTACCTCCTTTGATAGAAAGAAATGATTTGTCCAGACTGCTTTTATTTGTTCAAAAAAGTTGTACTGCAATTTACAATTTATAAGCCTCTCCAAGTAAAAGTCAATGCGGCCATAGTCAGTATATGAAAATATATTTGAAAATTACATCAGAAAAAGGAACAACAATAACTGTTTATAATTCTATGTATCAAAGCCTGTTTTTGTAAGTGTTTAAGTGACATATTTCCATATTTTACTTTGCAGAAGTATTTATATAGTTTAAGAACTTTGCTCCTTTTTAAAAATTATTTTTCAAAACTTTGCATGTCTATAGAATTTAACATGGCCTTTATCAAATAAATTTTAATATTTTCAATTGATGTTAAAAGAGGATATTTGGAAGCCTCACATTCATTTTTATTCTTATTTTCTTATGCCAACATTGAAGAGTCAATGGCTTTTAAATGAGATCATGTGATACTTAACTGAAGATATATCACTGTTTTCGGTAAAATTGTATATGAAAATATAACACATTTTGTGTTCTAATTTTGTGCATGATTAATTATGTAAGATAACTTAGAAATGGGACTATGTCAAACTACTTTGAATTTGCTTTCAAATACAGATAGGAAATTACAATGATATTTTTCTTAATACTAATCTACTTTTTTAATTCTCTGAATTCAAGCCACTAAAAGCACATTATGATAACTAAAGATCGAACTTAAATCTATGCAAACAAATATATCATGACTTTGTGTGTCATTTGTTAGTAAACATATATTTTTGGTACAAATAAAATTTCCATGTTAGACTCTTGACTATAATCAATTTTTTGTGACTTTTTTTGCTGCTTTATTCCCACTTTAATACAGAGGATTGACCGACATTACAAAATTCTCCAAATAAAACTTACCAAAAATTGTGAACATATATTAATTTTTTCCCTTTTGACTGCTTCTCTAGATCCTGTTCCTTTTCCCAGCCACAAGATTAATGAAAGAACAGAGACACCCCCCCGCCTCCCCGCCACATGTACTATGTAAGTGTGCTGCATCAAATATTTGTTTTGGTCTATCTTAGTATTTAATAAACCTAATTAACTTTGCTTGTATGAGGCAGAGATCAATAAGGGAAGGAAATAGTTGTAGTGGTTATTTAAATAAAATGGGCTTCCAAAAGATAAAGGAAATGGGTAATAAATAAATCTAGTTTTGGTGCACAGTAACAAATGGAAACAATACCACATTAATTTCGTACATTAAAATACCATTAAGAACACATTTATTAAGTGGTTCCATTAACATTTAGGATGCAGCAACTTCCTAGGTTTTTTTAAAAATAAGTTATCAACTGCTTTTTTTTTCTATATAATGTGAGATATTTGAAGCTGATGATCTCCTACTCAAGTCTAAGTCTATAATGTCTGTTTTCCCATCTGTGATTCTTTCCATCACATGAGTGTGCATATATCAATAGATTATATTTGTTCACAGATGGAAATTTACTGAACCTTTGATAGCTACCCACCACTGAAAGAACAGAAAGATAACTTGACAGCTAACTCAATTCTATCTTCAACCAAATGGTCTATCTGTAGTCATTACAGTATTCTTTATGGCTCCACTGTCACATTTATTTCACCCAAGAAAATTAATCCCAGAATAACTCCTATGTGCTTTATAGCTACAGCATGAACTCAGTAATTTTATGTTTTTGGACATAATGCACGAACATAAAATGTATTTACTTTTTATTGATAATGATTATACTGTTTAAGTTAAAGAGCATAAAATTAAACATGGTAATTACCAGTCATTCAAAATAATTATAAAGTGAAGTAATTCCTCAAAATTTTACATTTCAAGGATTTTATAAATTTGGAGTAATGTTCTATCTCCAATTTAGAAATTCCTTTCAATCACATTTAAAAACACACCACTTTCTCAAATGCCATCCCCCCAACCAGCATAATCACTTCTGTGTGTGTAGAGTCAATAAAAATATACTTTCCCCCAGACTTTCATAAACTTCAATTTTTCTTTCTCAAGATGGGCTTATTCTATGGAAATCTTTGTTTATTACCTCTTTGAGTTAGCGAGGAAGCAAGTTCCCTGGCTTCCAACCAACACAAGCTTATCTCGCTGAGAAGTATTATTTCTGCCCTCTAAGGGAGTATCTTTGTGTTTCTACAAAAAATAAAATTTTGAGAATAAAAGTGAACAAATACACTAATATGTCAGTGAGATATATCTCTTAAGAGTTACAACAAAAACAAGTGAATAAATATTCCACCTTGTTTTTCCTTCCCTGGTATACACATCCAGTCTCCCTAGTTACCACATGAGGATGTTAGGGACACTTCATATTCCAATGAGGCAAGCTTTTCAGGACTGGCCTGAAAGATATAGATAACTAGCAACTGTCTTTAAAAATAAGGATCACAAGCTAGTTCACAGAAATGCCAAGTAAGTTGTTGGAATAAGTGGAAATAATGATTAAAGTGTAAAATATCTCACAATCCATTGCCTTTATCATTATTGGATCCTCAATTAATCACTCTCAGTGAGGTTGTAGATCATTAAATGTCTGTGGAAATAAGAGAACACCTCTGACTTTGCTACCCCCATCCTTCCATGGCTTTCTGAAGAGCTTCTAAAACCCTGAAAATATCAGATTAAATATTTTGAATATTAGAGAATGAAGAAAATAAGAATATGTTTGACCTACATGTATTAGACACTCAATGCTCATTAATTTTATTATTTTTTTTTTTAATGATGGACAGTTTATTTAGATAACATAGTAAATAACATAAATAAAGAGGAACAATTTTTCTCAATTTGTACCATCTTTTTTTTTTTTTAATAAATTTTATTGTTATATTCCCCATACAATTGCAGCCCCCCCATTCTTAAATAGTGGCTCTCAAAAATAATATTTACAGGACCTCCCTGGTGCAGGCGGTTAAGCGCCCCACTGTGAAGCAATCCGCATCCTCTGCAGCACAGGTTCCATCCTGGCCAGCAGGTGAGGGTCCCACATGGCGCGGCAGACCTCTCTTGTTGTGCCCGCTGCTCCCCCCAGCAGTGTGTTTTGGTCAGTCTGCCAGTTCTATTCCCCGCTCTGTCTCTGGTGAGTCCTCTCACCCTCCCGCACATCTGGCCTGTACCCCGTTCTTGTATAAATAAAAAATAAAAAATAAAAAACTTAAAAAAAAAGGAAAAGAAAACTATTAAAAAATATTTACAAAAAGGTTGTTTTACTTGGGATCTTTTGCCTTAAAAGCAACTTAATCATCTGATGAATGACTAGTTCATGGGTTATTTTTCATAACTGACCTAAAAAATCAACTCACGATAGGACTTTTCACCTGGAAGTATCTTGTGATAATAAACATGCATTTTATTTTATTTTATGGAATTGAGATAAATACGTACCTTTAAGTGTGTCTTAAAACAATTTAAAAGGCTTTTTTTTTTTTTGGCCATCAAGAATTTGTGTTAGAAAAATGAAAGAACTGACAAAATCCTGGACTAAGCAAGCGAATGCAAATGAATTTGCAAAAGCCTTTTTAAGCCAGATTGACATGAACATGCTAATGACTCTTCTCTGACTCCTAGAGATTTCACTATAATTTACATCTTCAATTTGGACGTTCATAAGAAAGGAGCTAAAATACTTGGCTTTACAAGCACTGGAAGGCACCCCTCCAAGTCTGAGACCCACCTATTTCATTCGCTGTGTACACACATGCAAGTTACTTCTATTTTCGGTGCTTCGATAAAGTAGATCAATACAATTGATCCTAAGGCATGCAAGAATTAAAATTAAATCCTAAAACTGAGTAAGTACTTTTACATGGCAAATTTCCTAATTTAATCTATAGTCCTTTTTTTGCTAATAAAGGATGATATAGTCTTACTGATAAATGCAGGCAATTAGGGACAACAAAAGAAAATTTCTCATTTTTAAGAAAACATGACACGTACTCTACATAGCATATTTAATCTGCCCTTTCAAAAACCCTATAGGACGGATATCAATATTAACTGAAATATTAAAATAATATCTGTTACTTTTTACTGAGCTCTTACTGTGTTTAATTTCACTATTTCTGTATTATTATAAGAAATCCTCACACTGAAAGTAGTAAGTAGATGTCATTATTCACATTTTAAAGGTAAGAAAACTGTGCCTGAGAGATTATATTGTTTGTCAAAGCTCCCTGAGTGATCCAAAGATTCCAAGCCCTTTGTGTTTGGACCCAAAGCAGCCCACCTTAAATACCAAGTGCTTTCGAAGAAATCAGGTTAATTGTCTTATTCAAAATTGAACAGCTTGAGAGTTACAGAGTCACAGCTAATATCCCTGGCTTCACATATGGTGATTAAGCAGTTTCATAGAAAAATGAAAACAACCAATTTCTGTATGTTGCTACAAACCACAACTAAGTAATGAAATGCTAAAAGGAAACATGTGAATATTATTTAAATATAAGAAAATAATTTTTGACTCCTCTCTTCCTGTTTACTTCGAGTTACTAAAAAATTACATTTTCCAAGCGATACCTGTGAATCCAAGACATGCCTTAGAACGTATCTATGAACTATAAAAATGTTGCCACATAAATAAACCACTACATAAAATCATCATTGCTGTCTATTTAAAAATGAATAAATAAGACTTAATTGTGCATGTGAATCCATCAATTTTGTGTTGTAGTTCTGCTGAAGAAAAAGACATTTTTTTTCTTGCAAAAGAGATGCAGGCGAGGAAGGAAGAAGGCATAGGAGATATTTCATTCAGCAACTTCTTTTATGAAGGAATAAAGTATTTTTTCAAATAGTCTCTAGTGTTCTGGAATTGATACAGTAATGCACCCACCAGCTCTGTTCTTCACCCCACTTTTCAATTCCCTCCTTTGTGAAAGACCCCTGAAGAATATTTTGTTTTACTTGCAAAATGTTCATTTATATTAAAATAAAATAACATTTTATTTAATGTTTCTATGTTTTCAGAGGCTCCACTTTGGATAATCTAACTCTACCATCTCTGGGTTATTTAGGATAAATAGTCTCTTGCATGTGTTTTTCCAAAGGCCCAAAGATAGGAAGTCTCATCCTTGCATGTGCTTCTCCGACGTTTTAGCACCTCGGATGGCACTTCCTTGCTTCCTGTGGCTACTAGAGGCAGCCCTCCCCATTCTGTAGTTATGACTGTGCTGACAGAGGAGGCTGATTTCCACTATAATAATGTGGTTGGCAATTAAATAAAACCTGTGCTTAAAAAGGGGTAAATTGATGTTCTTCCATATGTGTGAAGTGAGCACTGGTTTAAGAACAAACTGTGAGACCTAGTGAAATAATTGTCAACTCATTGTCAACATTCTAGCTGTGCAAGAGCTCCAACCATGTTGGACAAGTGGAGAAACTTTCCAAGGGCAAAAAGTCACATATCCTTCAGGACCCTGAGAATATGAGATTGCCATCCATCAGCCTTCGCTCTCAAACTCCAGTTCCTCCAACCCTGTGTCCACATGTTCAATACCAAAAGGCCTGGAGACTAATTTTATCTGAAGTATTTTTAAAATCTTGACAATAAGAGAATGGATTTTTAACAGAATATTCACTGAATATAAAATATAAAAATAAATTATGTCATTTTCCACAATCATAGTAACTTGTTCTCCTTCAAGTACTTGGGCACACATCATCAGAGAAAAATGACCAGGCAATTCATGTGCTGTTAGCCAAGGAACTTCGGACAATCCGGTGAAAGAAGTACAGAAAAATCATTGGCAATTTACCAGGTTACAATGCTTCCTTAATCTATAAACACAGGGCCTGGCTAAACTGTCAGGAGCAAAGCATGATCAGACAAAGCCAATATTGTTTTATTCTCATGGGACCACTTAAGTGAGTTATAACAAGAAAAATGAACAAACCATAGAATCTTCAGTGGTCTTAAATCTCACGTTAGTCATGAGAAATCCTTCAGGCTTTCTATTTTTGTAATGTCTTATAAAAATAAGTGAAGATGGGCCTTCCACTTTCATTATCGTAAGGCTTGGAACAACTGTTTGACAGCAACTGAAATTCTTGAATGAAATGTATTTTTAAATGATAAACTGGTGAAACAGGCAATGATTTTCAGAGAAATAAATGAAATAAACCAAACTGAAGTTAAGAAGTAAGAAAGATGAGCTGCTGACTTTCATTATGGGCATTTGCAACAGCAGCGAAGTTGAAATTTGGATTTTAAGTCTCGTAAGACATGAAGTAAAGCAGGCAGAACTCAGGGCTTTGGTGGAAAATCTAACGGGAGTCCTACCTCTGGTAAATCTGTGATCTCAAGGAATTTTCTGTCATTGCATGTAAAGCAGAACTCGCCCCCTTAAGAGGAGGGCAAGTAAATCAAGGGGCATAGACTTAGGGGCTGAGTGGTGAACAAGGCACTGGCTGGGATTTCAAGATGGTCTGAAAACCCTAGATGGTCTGCAAAGTGTCAGGCTGGGAAGGTAATATAGCAGAAGACAAAACGTCTCTGGCTCCTCTTCCAGCATCAGGGAGATGACTGTCCTACAGGGTCTACTCACTATCAACCAATACCACAAGTCAGACACTTTCAAATTCAGGAATAGGTTTCCATGGAGACAGTTACTTTAGCAATGGATGCTTAGCCTTAGAAGGACAGTCAACCACAATACTAACTCTCAGAGATTCAGGTATTTTCCCAGACTCCCTTCCTCCCACTTTGAGAACAAGGGTCTCAGTGTAGCCCATTCAGCCAAATCCACAACACCCAGCCAGTTTTTCATGGGCACAATATTCAATGTCCTTGCCCAGGGTGTTTCCTGCCCAGAAGTCTACTCTTTATTTCCAGGAGAAGCCCTCTTCTCAACCTCACATCAGACTTTACCATTACTTATTACATCACCTACTTTGTACCAGAAGTCTGTCTGGCCCAGTAAACATCTGAAATGAAGAAACTTTATGACTCTTTAACTGATAGGCCTTTACAAAACCAGTGATCCATCCATCCTTAAAAGTAAATCTTACATTAAGATAGAATCACTTTTTAAAGATAAGATTACAGGAAAGGGGCGGAGCAACATGGCGGCGAGGAGACTCTGCGAGTAAGATCTCCCATTAAAAAAAGTGAATAGGGAGGAAAAGCGGCAG